TCAGCCTGCAGATTTATTGTACCTAGTTGACAACGTCGCTAAGAGGTGCTTCTCTTATATCGGCTGATTCTTACCCAAACACAAATCTTTTAATAAATGAAAGCGTGTAACATGAATAGCTGGTTATTTTATCTACTTTGATATATGTGTTTGAGCTTAATTTATAGGGCGTGGGTTAGCTTTTTAAATAACTCTAATAACTTTGAAAAAGAAGTTGGGCACCACTATATTTAAAGCTTATACACTTAACTCCACATTAGAGATAAAAATATAGAAAAACTACTAACAAATTAAACTTTAAAAATGCTTTAGATAAGGTAGGTATCAAATTCTAATTCACATAAGTTTGCACATAATTTAAATTTAAATACAATTTATTGATTAGATCAATTACAGTTATCTGTGTGGTAAATAAGGTAATATACGGCATTGGTAAGTTAAAGGTAAAACATCAGGTATTTCTTCCTTCGCCCCAAACTGCAGAGGTACATAAATCCTTAAACATTGTATACCGGTCAGGCAACTTTAATCAAGTGATTTGGGATTTTCATTCATTACTCTCATTCGAGATTCCTATTTGTGAACCGTGAATGATCTTCAAAATAAACGATTATTATTTGTATTCGAACCCGAACGATCTTCAAGATATATGATTCTTAGTGTATACGAACCCGAACGATATTCAAGATAAATGATTCCTATTGTATTCGAATTTGAACCGTCTAGAGATTGCCATAGGCTAAAAAGTGTTAAAATGTTATACTAGATGAAGGTAAATTTTGATGAAATACTTAACTAGTAAATGAATAATTTCACAGAGACTAAAATTAATATGAAAAGGAAAAATCTTATTTAATGTATTTAAATATAGTAAAGCATAATATCTTATACCAAAAAAAAGTATATATAATTTTATATAGAAGCTAACATGTGTCATTCATTGCAGATGTAAAGGTTATGTATACAATTTGACAATTTGCTCGAGAAATCATTGAATAAAACATATATTTAATACCATATTATTAACAAAACGTATCTTATAAAATCAGACGGTCCTTAACATAAATAAATATAAATTAATATTTCGGATGACCGAAATAAAACCAAAATAGCTGTCTGTTAGATAAACATAAAAATGTCTCTTTCTCTGGCACAAAGCATAGACGACAAATGACATTTGAGTAAGAGGTGATTGTGTTCGAAATAACGATTCCAACCCTTACAAGCGTCGGACTGTCTTAGACGATATACGCGATGTCTTATCTTCTTGTTCACACTCCTTGCAAAATGCGGATTCTGGCAGCTCCATGCAACAAAGATGCTTTCGTACTTGGAAATGACCAGCCAGAATGTCTATGATCAGGCGCAAATTCTGTCTAGTCATAGTCAGGTATTTGTTTACTGTAGTGTTGTCAGGATAACTTAAAAGCTTCCTGGCAACTATGCAGTTTCTTCTTTCATCCCATTTATCCCTTGAATTTTACAAGAGACTGTTTTTTAATTAAGTCTGTCACTAGTAATGTTGTCAGTCCATTAGAAGGACTGCCTTCTTGGCTAGTGAATTAGTCTAACTTTCTATGTGGCAAGACCTTTGATCCATCTTGAGGTGGGCATATTGTTGATATAGACTTCGGCTAAAGCTTCGTGACAGTCTAGTACTAATCCTGAGTAAATTCGTGGTCTCTCCAGGGTAAGTAGTGCTTGTCTGCTATTTGTATAGATGAGCATGTTCCATCCAGTAATATTGTTTCTGGTAACTTCTTTTGCTGCTATGAGAATCCTCGTGAGCTCGGTTTGAACTACACTGGCCCTACTGCTCACAGCCCATTTTAGTTTAGGTTTAAGAATAAGGATTATATTCAACGTCCTAAACCTTCTTTTGTTTTAGAACTGTCGGTGTAGATATGCATCCTGCCTGCCACTTTTGGCTCTTCTATTTGCTTTGTTCTGACTTTATATGGCTTGTGGAAGATGGTGTCCATGTTTGCTTGAAGCATTGAAAGCGTTAGAAGCGCGTCCTGTTAACAGCAACGTCTTGCCTCACCAGATCCTACATCAGGTTCTATTTAGACTATGCGGATTTGTGTCATTGTCATGCGAGCAATCTCATTGATATACATATTAAGGAGAGTGAGACTAAGAATAACTTCCATGGCGTTGGTGTGTTTTTTATGGCTCCTGTTATGTTGAGACATGCTGTTCTTTGAATTTTTTCTAGTTTACGGATAGCTATCAATTGTTTTCGATACCCAGGAAACTGCACCGTATACTAGCATAGTTCTTATGATGGTTATTTAAGTCAATGTCACGACTTTGGGGGAGAAACTCAAAGTGCGCCCCATGGTTCAGCGGCATTTTTTATAAGAAATGTATGCTCTTTTGACTCTGTTTTCTAAGTGAGTTCTATATTAAATTGCTGTCAAAGGTGAGACTTAGGTACTTCACCTGTGTTGAAAAAAGTTTAGTTTTGGAGGTTTTAATGTCATTTTTATTCTCTTCCTTGTGAAAAGGACTATTTCTGCATTCTTTTGCAAAGTATGTTCTCAAAATTCCATGTTTGCAGAATGACCAGGTCATCTGCATACGCTATTGTGTAGACACTGTCATTATTAAGGGCGGGTGATGCGGGTATCGAGAACCATATTCCAAAATAAATCAATCAAAGTATTAGTTTATCTGTCTAATCCAATTACCATACCTTGGATCTTCAGCATCCACAGATAGTAATTTTATAATCCAATCTTATAGCAAAATTCTCTAGTTAGTTACTGGGTAACCAAAAAGTGGTCATATTCATGTCAATCAACAAATAGTCAAAATTGAACTGAATTTTCATATTTTTTATTTTTTACATATATTCATTGTTTCTGGTTTAGGTATATATGGGTGATCCTTAAATAACTGTCTTTTTTTATGTCCAGTATTTTATTTATCGTTTAGCATAAGTTTTCCTCATTAAAAAGTTATTAATATTATAAATTTAGAGGTATTTTACATATACTCGAAATATCAGTATCCTGGCATGTCCGATTATCATTTTTGAAATTAAATATATAAATTTCTATCAAAATTCATTTTGTAATATAAAATGTACCTCTTATAATTACAAATGCATACTGCATTGAATTTTATTGCAATTTTAAACCAATCTTTCGATTCGTAAAAAAATAATCATTTATATGTCAGTACCGTGGAAATAATGTCAGTACCGTGGCATTAAATTTTGTCACAGTTTTCGTTGTGTTGTAGCTGTAGTAGAACCACTTTAATGCCTTATTTCTGTGAATAAATAGAAAACTAAAACACTAACATAAGTTTTAACACATTTTTAATTTTAGAAAAATTTAAGTTGAGTAAAAATCGCAGTTACACGAGAATCACCCATTATTTAAATTATTGTGTAATTAATTCTACGTTCATATGTATGTTTTTTAGTTTAATAAATTCGTGTTTATAGTCTATATAAATGTTCTGAGGCTGGTAGTTTTATCTTTTTAAAATCTAAGCCTAAGCCAGTTTTTAAACGAACTTAATAAAAATAATAAAAATACTAAGTAAGTATTAAACAAAAGGATAGCAATCTTTTAAAATACGCCACCTATACTCTGTTTATATTATCTCCCGAACCCTAAACAGGAATACAAGTAGTACTGATCACGATAGAGTTCTGGATCTGAGCGATATTGAGAAAACATCACCTGTAGCTTGTTTAGCTTTAGATACCGAATCAGTAATTTCTAAATAAAACTGTTAAATATGAATATTTATTGACTATTTCCACTTCTTTGTTGTTAAGAAACGATAATTATATGATAATTTAAAACCACTTGTCGAAAAGCGCATAATTTTAAACTTAGATGTGTTAATTTCAATAAGATTTACGAGTTCATAGAGCATATTCCTCTAAAATATGTATTTTTTTCTTATTATTATTTCAGATGTTTCGTTTAATCGCCTCATTTTGAATTATTAGAAAATATTTAGTTGTTCTATGTCCCATTCTTAATGGGACACTCCGTAGACAAAGGAAAATGATTTCATAGAATTTATAATATTAAACTAGTTTTTTTTCTGGATTTTATACCAAAATTTTAGCTTTGTTCTTATCTGCCCTAAAACTTTTCTTTCAAGTAAATTGCTTCACTATCGAAACAAAAATATTTTTGGTTCTCAACAACTGTAGATTGCTACTACAATGTTTAGATTTAATTATGATACACCAATACGCCTCTAAGGCAATGTCTTGAATAGTTAGTCGTCCACAAAGCGTGAAATTGATTCAGTTGAATACTATGTTAGTACAGTTATTTTCACAAAGGCGATGAGAGTATTTTCCAATGCACTTTCGCACAAAAAGGGAATTCTTTTTAATTCGAAACCGCGAGTCTTTGGTATGTAATTACGACAAAAGTAGAAGTGAAACACGTTCGGTCGATGGGTGATTTCCATAATAACAGCCTTTACCGCTGGTACAATACAAAAAAGTTGCTCGAAACAACCAGTTTTGTGCTCTTCTGTTGTTGTAAATACCAAGTTGAAAAGCATTGGCAGCGATCAAGATCCGCATCACGAAAAAAATTAATTAAAATCGGCTAAGTGCAAGTCGTACTTGCGCAATAGAGTTCCTTATCGGAGTTGTTTTAAAATAAATAGATTTGGTATCTTGATAGATTCTCGTGTATTAATAAGTGTACTCATAGTTTAATATAAGAATTTTATTACATTTGCAGATGTATTTTTTTTTATTTTATTGTAAAATAAATTTGTTTGTGGTGGCAAAAAAAACTTTCGGCTACATATTATTGAGGTATTATCTAGTTTTTTCTTCTTGCGGGTCGTTCATTTTTTATAACCTTGAGACAACCCAATAACAAAACTCTTATCATTCCCATCATTTTTCAGCTCTAGTTCAGCTAGTACTTTCTTAAATTACTCCCTCTTTATTGAAGTCTGAAGTCTGATCAGAGTTTATCTTATAATCGGATTGCACTAATTTTTTCTTAGTCACATAACGGATCAGCACAGATGCCTTTTAGTGGTCTACAAGAGTATTCTTTCTTTCTACAAATTCGAAGAACCTTTTCAAACTTGTTCACTCCACCAATGCTCGGCCTGATATTCAATGTTTCGAAAACTTCCTGCACAACCTTCTTATCGTCTTCAATACTCTCTAATAATTCATCACAACCTAATTCTTTCACATTATAAATTATCAGGTTCCTAGATCTGGTTGCCCTTTCATGTATTTCGTTGAAGATTTCCTCCGTATTGATCTCAGAAACACCATGGGTGCATTTCTGATTTTTGACAATTTCAAGCTCATTTTTTATAAGGTCCATCTCCTTCTTTAACTCTCCAATTTGTTGCAAAAGGGCAGGCATATTTTTAAAAGCTATCCTATATAAATTATAAGAATATAACATATTGGATTTTTAAGAAGTACTTCCTACACTTATAAAATGAATCCATCAGAATATTGAAAAAAAAGCTTATTTCAAACATTCAAGCTGTACTTTTGCCAAAGAAGACTGAAAAAAAATAATTAAAAAAATATATAAATAAATTCCCGTCCATTTCAGGACCACAAATTAATTCTTAGATAAAGGACTTAAAATTTTTATATATTAATCGCGCCCAAATGTCCTGCGTCCACAAATTTCCTAGACCGAGAAAACACATATGTAGTTGTAGAAAAAATAAACCAATAACAAAAAGTTTGATAGTTATTTTTTAATGTCAAAAATAATATAATGTTCGGAAGTGCAATTTATTATCAATTTTTAACAATTATAAACATTAACTGCTTATAAATATTTATATGAATCGTGCAGCCAGCATATTTATACTAATAATGTTAATTATTTGTTCATGGGATTTCTTCACTCATACCCATTCCGCAATATTCCTCGCTCACAAAATAAAATGGCACCTTTAATATTTTTATCATAAATAGCTATTTTGGGGACATACTAAATTATTGTACCACCTAAAGCTATAACTGCTTTTGGAGAAACTCATCAAACCAAACTGGTCCTTTTTATAGGTGTATAAATTATTTAAAAATGAAAAAGTAGAAATCTGGTTTTTTTGGGTGACATTTATTTAATATACTGACGTATTTAAACATTTTATTTATATTTTTTATTGTTGGTTTCACTTTTTTAGATAAGGTTTTTAGGTCGTCGAACCAACATAGAAGATTACTAAATATGCGAAATATTCACTAAAGAATGACACCTCATTTAAATTCCGTGAAAATAATACATGGTTTACATTAGAACTTTATTGTTCTACAATGAAGGCATGTTCTCCTTTTAATTCTAAACCGTTATAAATATGTCGCCATATTCATAATGTTTTTTTATAATCAAATAAATATGGAGTGATCCAAAAATTGTTTTTATGGAAAAAATCACTCTTGTCTGAGATTACAATGCATATTTTTAAATGTCGGCCACAGCCTGCTTTAGAAACATATTTTATGAATAATATAGAAATTCGGAAAATCAAGGAATACATAAAAGTTCTGAATACTATTTGACAACTTCAAATAATAGGTTTTAGTTTTGGAATTTTGATTATGATATGGATGTAAAACAACATGGCTATTTTTAAACATTATGAACTTGCGGAAGTTTATAATTAAAGTCTGTGTTTTGCTAATAACATAAACCATTTTTCTTCAAGTGTCAAAATTAAATAATGAAATATATTGTTAGACCATATGGATAAAATATATAATGTGTTCAACCTATGACTTTTCTGTAAAGTTATCAAATATATTGAGTACGGCCCATTTAACAAATATTGTTTAGGAAACGAATTACAGATAAAAAAAGTTCCACACGCATTTTATTTAAAATCTTTACTTTACATCTTCAGCGTTAACAAAAATACACTTTTTTTCAAATCAAAAATAGCAGAAATATATCTTGAAATAAGAAAACTTCCCCGCACCCCCAGATGCTTCGACTATGCTCAAAATCCAATCATTTCGCAGCAGGAAGAATTAAGGTTTAAGTTTATTTTTTTGTTAATCCGTTTTGGATGCAGACACACTTACACAGACACTCAGACAACACCGCGATTCAAGGGAACCCAATTCCAGTACTTTCCTTACTGGTTACAGTAACCTTGGTGTAACAGTAAAACAAAAAATATACTATTTTCTACACCTACATGGATATCAGCTTATCTACGCACAGACTACAAAACGAAAAAGTATGTCATTGCGTTCAACTGAACGAATATCTTCCATATCCATTCTAGGTAGTAAGAGCACTGCAAAAAATCACCATATTTTGATCAACCGACTGCTATTATTTTTAAAATTTTAAATAAGTGACAATCCTGTCAAATTAATTGTCAGTATATTTTTTAGTTATTGAAATTAAGCATATATAAAAAGGGGTTATTCTTGTGTAGAATCGATAAATAATAGCATTTCTGTTTTTATTTCGTCTATAATTATAAATAATTTGTTAATTTAAATAAAACTATATGAAGTGAATTTAATTACGAATATTAAAGCAACAAAAATAAAACAGTAGGTGGTCCTATAGTCAGCGTTCTGGCATTACACGCAGAAGACTTGAGTTCGATTCTCGGATGGGGAAAAATAAAATGAACTTTTTCTTTTTTTTTTCGTTTATTTTAACAATTATTAAAAGTCATAAATTGTTTTAAAATTAGTTATTTTGTCTTAATAACCTAATATATTTTTTTTTATTTGTAAAGTTTCGTTAGTGGGTCGTAGAAAAAATATACTGTACAACTCGAGTGGATTGTCCACATCGTACTCAGACGATTGAGCACTCCGCCTACGGCGTCGTGCTCAAATTTTATCTTCGTACGATATGGCCATCATCACGGGGGTTGGATTCCATGTAAATAGTAGGTAGGTAACAAGTTTGCTTGACCTCGATAGTAGCGCGCTAAGCGCTTACGGTTGAACTACACCTGTCAGTTTCAGCCGATAAAGTAGAACACTACTAATTAGAGCGATTTAAAAATTGGCGGGCTTAATAATTTAGAATTTGAAGCACTTTGAAGTAACATTTTCCTATTTGACAACTTTTACTTACAACTACTAAACAAACAATAAGTTTAGTGAATTTTTGTTGTAGGTAAATGTTGAAAAATGGAAAATGTCACTTGTTTTAACTGAAAAATAAAATTAGTTGAAAAATAAAACACATTTTTAACAAGTTTAATTTATTTAGAATTACCATGTAATTACATGTGTTTCATTTTGAACATAACAAGCACTATATCACACACTAAATTACTGAAAAATAAAAATATAATATGATAACCAGCATAACACATGACAATGTTTTTGTTATTAAAAAAACCGGATATAGTTTTTATAAAAAGTCAAAGTAGTTCATTTATAAACACAATTGTTTTAATGTTTTAAATATCCCTTATTAATCCAAGGACAAATCATTCTAATTCTAATATTCTTATACTTATTGTCCCTTTAAGGCCTTTCCACATCTATTTCAATCTAGAATAGTTGTAATGCCTATTTCGGGTACAATAAGCCTCCAGCTTCAATACAGGTGGGCTTTGAAACTCACCCTAATTAAGAAACACATTTATGTACATTCCAAAAATCTCCATACCGAGGAATATCTAAAACAAAATAAAAATAAAGGTGCAGTGTGTATCTTAAAATTAAAAATTTTTACATTTTTCTTGCAATAAAAGGTATAAAAATTTCAATAAAAATAGAAAACATCTGATTTATGATCTTTATAGGTGAATTATGTAAAAATTAGTATGTTGACCTAAAAATATATCATATTAGTTTTTGAACATATTTGGGTATTATTTGATAAATATAATAATGAATATCACCCAAAAATTGGACAATAACTTTTTGAGCACAAATCATTGGCCTTTTCTTAATCTTGGTCTTTATGAGTAAAACTAGGATGAGATTCTATAATATTTGTTTGTAAATTGGCTTCACACAGTTCGCTCACAACTCCTTTCATTTTTTTGACCACAAATGTTTAAAATATGGATCCATTTATCTCTAATAGCAGGAAAAACATAAAATTTCTTGTTAGTTTTGTGAGAAAAATACTTACTTCTGCAATTAAAATTTAAATGAATTGTTAATGATTTTCTTGAGAACCTCCCTATAGTTAAATTAGTTAAATCTAACTTACACTTAATTAATACAATTTACTCACCTACATTTGAAAAAAATATCACCTGCATTTGAAAATGAAAATAATATCAGGCTGACATATTTATAGCAACATAACCTAATTTATTTTCAAAGCCAGATTTAAACCATCTAATAATATTTAAATTTAGCTTTAACTTTAAATTTGTTAACGATTATCCCTCTATTTGATCACACATTATCTTAAAGTGAAATTTAAAGGGGTAAATCAGTAAAATTATTGATTTCTTTTTCATTATTTTTGAAAACATATTTTTTTATGGGTGTAAAACGGGTTTGAAGTTAGTGATAGCAGCGCGCTAAGTGCTTACGGTTCAACTACCAACAAGGAAACAAGTCCCGCCATTTATTCAAACCTTCTCTTTTTATTTTTCTATGGCCATCATATCCACTCCTGTTGCACAAACTACTATTTTCTACACCCACATGGAATTAGATTATCTACGCACAGACTACAAAACGAAAAAATATGTCATTGCGTTCAACTGAACGAATATATTTCATAGCCATTCTAGTAGTTAGAACACTGCAAAAAAATTAAATCCACTGATCACAGATCGTATTTTAGACAACCTACTACTAATATTTTTAAAATTTTAAATAAGTGACAATCCTGTTAAACTAATTGTCAGAATATTTTTTAGTTATTGAGATTAAATATACATTATAATGAGTTATTTTTGTGTAGAATCGAAATAATAGAAATTTTATTTGGTTCATATTTTGAAAATTAAATTAAATTTTAATAAAACTATATAAAACTATTTTAATTACGAGTACTAAAACCAAAATCCTAAAAGTGGCTGTGGACGCGAGGACAGAGCGCGAAAAGCCCGGTATCGAATCTAGACTGGAGACCAATTAAATAAGATCTTTTTTATGTTTATTTTATTTTAAAAGTCAGTTAAATTCATAAATTATTTTAAAATAAGTTATTTTGTCTTAATAACCTAAAATCTTTCTTTAAATTTGTAGATTTTCGTTAGTGGGTCGTAAAAAAAATAAACTGTACAACTCGAGTGGATTATCCATAACCACTCTTGTTGCACAAACTACTATCTTCTACACTCACATGGATATTAGCTTATCTACGCACAGATTACAAAACGAAAAAGTATGATATTGCGTTCAACTGAACGAATATATTTCATATCCATTCTAGGTAGTGAGAACACTGCAAAAAATTAAATACTGCAATCACAGTTCATATTTTCGACTCCCAAC